CAAAATGCTGGGATTACAGGCGTGAACCACCATGCCTGGCCTAATTTTTGTGTATATATATATTTTTTTGAGACGGAGTCTGGCTCTGTTGCCCAGGCTGAAGTGTAGTGGCATGATCTTGGCTTACTGCAACCTCCACCTCCCGGGTTCAAGCAATTCTCCTGCCTCAGTCTCCTGAGTAGCTGGGATTACAGATGCTCACCACCACAGCTGGCTAATTTTTTATATTTTTACTAGAGACGGGGTTTTGCCATGTTGGCCAGGCTGGTCTCTAACTTTTCACCTCAAGTGATCCACCCACCTTGGCCTCCCAAAGTGCTGGGATTACAGGCATGAACCACTGCGCATGGCAATTTTTGTATTTTTGATAGAGATAGGGTTTCACCATGTTGGCCAGGCTGGTCTCAAACTCCTGACCTCAGGTGACCCACCTGCCTCAGCTGCCCAAAGTGCTAGGATTATAGGAATGAGCAAACACACCCAGCGAACAATTTTTATCTTATTTTTGAGATGAAGTCTTGCTCTGTGCAAGAGCTGGAGTGCAGTGGCATGATATCGGCTCAATGCAACCTCTGCCTCCTAGGTCCAAGTGATTCTCATACCTCAGCCTTCCAAGTAGCTAGAATTACAGGTGCCTGACACCACACCTGGCTAATTTTTGTTTTTTCAGTAGAGACTGGATTTCACCATGTTGGCCAGGTGATCTCAAACTCCTGACCTCAGGTGATCTGCCTGCCTCAGCCTCCCAAAGTGTTGACATTACAGGCGTGATCCATCGTATTCAGCCTTTAATAGCTATCTATTGCCTTTTTCTAGAAGATTTCTACTTATAACAAACAAATCTTGCTTTCCATACTTGGGAACCAATTAATGGTTAAAAACATAGAGTTGGAGTCAGACCACCTGGGTCTGGATCTGGGCTCTACCATGTTCCTAGCTGTGTGACCTTGGGCAAGGTACAAAACCACTCTGTGCCTTAGTTTCCTCATCTGTAACAAGGGATAATAACAGTATTTACCTTGTGGTATTGTCATGAGGATTAAATAAGTTATGCATTTAAAGTGTTTATAACAGAGCCTGGAATGTAATAGTACTATATAGGAGGAACCATATAGATATTTGCTAATGATTAATTTTGTTTTTTTTTTTTTGGTTTTTTTTTTTTTTTTTTGAGACGGAGTTTCACTCTTGTTACCCAGGCTGGAGTGCAATGGCGCGATCTCGGCTCACCGCAACCTCCGCCTCCTGGGTTCAGGCAATTCTCCTGCCTCAGCCTCCTGAGTAGCTGAGATTACAGGCACGCGCCACCATGCCCAGCTAATGTTTTGTATTTTTAGTAGAGACGGGGTTTCACCATGTTGACGAGGATGGTCTCGATCTCTTGACCTTGTGATCCACCCGCCTCGGCCTCCCAAAGTGCTGGGATTACAGGCTTGAGCCACCGCGCCCGGCAATTTTGTTTTTTTTTGAGACGGAGTTTCACTCTTGTTCCCCAGGCTGGAGTGTAATGGCGCAATCTCGGTTCACTGCAACCTCTGCCTTCCAAGTTCAAATGATTCTCCTGCCTCAGCCTCCCGAGTAGTTTTGGGATTACAGGCATGTGCCACCATGGCTGGCTAATTTTTTGTATTTTTAGTACAGACAGGGTTTCTCCATGTTGGTCAGGCAGATTTCGAACTCCTGACTTCAGGTGATCCGCCTGCCTCGGGATGCTGGGATTACAGGCGTGAGCCACTGCGCCTGGCCAAAAGTTTTTTTATTTTGAGACGAGGTTTTGCTCTTGGCCATTCTAGAGTGCAGTGGTTTGAGTTTACTGTAACTTCAAACTCTGGGGCTCAAGCAGTCCTCATCAGCCTCCTGAGTAGCTGGAACTATAAGCACACACCACCATGCTGGGCGGCTAATTTCTTAAAAAATTTTTTGTAGAGGCAGGACATGGTGGCTCATGCCTGTAATTGTGGGAGGCCGAGGCAGGTGGATCACCTGTGGTCGGAGACCAGCCTGACCAACATGGAAAAGCCCAGTCTCTACTAAAAATAGAAAATTTGCCGGGCATGGTGGCGCATGCCTATAATCCCAGCTACTAGGGAGACTGAGGCAGAATTGCTTGAACCTGGGAGGCAGAGGTTGCGATAAGCTGAGATCGCACCATTGCACTCCAGCCTGGGGAACAAGAGTGAAACTTCTGGCCTCAAGTAATCTTCCCGTCTTGGCCTCAAATTTTCCTTTTTATTTATTGATTTATTTTTGAGACAGGGTCTCACTCTGTCCCCCAGGCTGGAATGCAGTGGTACAATCACGGCTCACTGCAACCTTGACCTCCTGGAATCAAGTAATCCTCCCATGTTGGCCTCCAAAAGTGCTGGGATTACAGGCCTTTTTAAAAAAATTATTTTAATTTTTTAGAGGCAAGGTCTTACTCTCAACCAGGCTGGAGCACAGTGGCATGACCATGGCTTACTGCAGCTGCACACTCCTTGGCACAAGCAATCCTCCCGCCTCAGCCTGGTAAGTAGCTGGGACTACAGTACTGTGCCACCACACTTCACTAATTTTAAAATTATTTTTTGTAGAGACAGAGTCTTGCTTTCTTGGCCCGGCTGGTCTCAAACTGGCTTCAAGCAATCCTCCTGCCTTGGCCTTCCAAAGTGCTGGGATTACAGGTGGACACCACTGTGCCTGGCCAGAGCGGAACATATTTGCCTGCAGTCCTACTTCTGCTTTGCAGATTAGGCTTTAAGATGTTTGAGCAGTGTTGTGATTTAAAAATAAACCTTGAAGGCTGGGCGTGGTGGCTCACACCTGTAATCTCAGCACTTTGGGAGGCCGAGGCAGGCAGATCACCTGAGGTCAGGAGTTCAAGACCAGCCTGGCCAACATGGTGAAACCCTTATTATTTTTTTTTTAAGAAAAGAAAAAAAAACCTTGAAAAACCACACAGCCAGAAGTTCAGAAGAAAGCCTAATGAAGATGTTGAACTCTTTTTTGAGATGGGAGTCTCTTGGCCGGGTGTAGTGGCTCACGCCTGTAATCCAAGCACTTTGGAGGCCAAGGCGGGCAGATCACCTGAGGTTGGGAGTTCAAGACCAGCCTGACCAACATGATGAAACCCCGTCTTTAAAGAAAAAATAAAAAATAATTTATTTTATTTTTTGAGACGGAGTTTCGCTCGTTACCCAGGCTGGAGTGCAATGGCGCAATCTTGGCTCACCACAACCTCCACCTCCTGGGTTCAAGCAATTCTCCTCCCTCAGCCTCCCGAGCAGCTGGGACTACAGGCGCGCACCACCATGCCCAGCTAATTTTTGTATTTTTAGTAGAGACAGGGTTTCACCTTGTTGACCAGGATGGTCTCAATCTCTTGACCTCGTGATCCACCCACCTCGGCCTCCCAAAGTGCTGGGATTACAGGCGTGAGCCACTGCGCCCGGCCAAAAAAATAATTTAAAAAAAGAGATGGGAGTCTCACTCTGTCACCCAGGCTGCGGTGCAGTGGTGCGATCTCAGCTCACTGCAATGTCTGCCTCCTGGGTTCAAGCGATTCTCATGCCTCAGCCTCCTAAGTTGCTGGGATTACAGACACGTGCCACTACACCTGGATAATTTTTGTATTTTTAGTAGAGATGGAGTTTCGCCGTGTTGGCCAGGCTGGTCTTGAACTCCTGACCTCAAGTGATCCACCACTTCAGCCACCCAAAGTGTTGGGATTACAGGCGTGAGCCACTGCGCTCTAGCCTGCAATCAGTCTTGATTGCGCCACTGCACTCTAGCCTGGGCAACAGAGTGAAACTCTGTCTCACAAAAAGGAAAAGAAAAAGAGGTTAATAGAGTGGTGTTATGCTGAATTGTTTAGCCTTAAAAAGCTTAAAACCCTTTGTTCCTTTTCCACTCCCACTGCTTCACTTGACTAGCCTTTAAAAAAAAAATAAATTAATTAAAAAAAAAAAAAGAAAAAAAAAAAAGGTTAAAACTCAGATATTCCAGAATGGAGATGAGAGGTTGTTAGGGGTTAGCTGTGGGCAGAATCCAGGATGAGTTTCTGCAATGACCTGGAAGTGGGGAAAGACAGCCTGAGCCTGGGTTAAAAAGGGTTTGGCTCCCAGCAACCATGGCAAGCTGGAAAACAACCAGCATAGGTTTGGCCAGAAAGAGCAGAGTCCAAGGGTTGAGGCTAGAGGTGGAACCCACAGCCTTGAAAGGGAAAAGAGGCAGGGCCTGGGGAATGGGAGCAGAGCCAGGGGCTGTGCCTGGAATCCAAGGACAACTAACCGTGAAACCACCCACCCGGTTCCAAGCACGCAGCATAGGGGCAAAGTTTGTAGTCTGTCAGCTCACTCTGTCATAAAAGTAGCTTTATCAAGGACAAGCAAACCACCCCATGGGAGTGGGGAACAGGGACATAATAGATGAGTAGGGAGACTCTGAACCCAAGGCCCCACAAACTGTTCTCTGGTTAGCAGCCCATCCACCCATAGGAAAGGGGAGCTTTGCTAGGGCTGCCTCCAAGGGTCCCATGCAGCCTCAGAACCACAGCTGCTGCTCCCTTAACTTTGTGTGCCAGGCTCTGTGCTAAGCACTTCGTTTATTATGTTAATAGTTTTTTTGAGATGGAGTCTTGCTCTGTCGCCCAGGCCAGAGTGCAGTGGTGTGATCTCGGCTCACTGCAACCTCTGCCTCACGGGTGGAGATTCTACTGTCTCAGCCTCCTGAGTAGATGGGATTACAGGTGCCCGTCAGCACACCCAGCTGATTTTTGTATTTTCCATTCTGGTTCCAATCAGCCATAGTGAGGGGACAGGGCAGGCCACAAACAGAAATTTGACTTTGGTGGCTCTTCGTGATGGCTCCAAGGAGGAAGATGGGGACTTCAGTGTGTGTATGCATTTGAATTCAGGTTTGTTTGGCTCCAATGCTAAGGGCTGGCGCTGATGCAAAGAGCAGAGGCAGAGTTGTGTTCACGAAGCCCATACGGGACATGGAAACAAGCACAAAACACCAAGTTCCATATGAAAATAAAACTTTCATTTGCAAAGGGAAAAAGCAGTAGCTCCTGCCTTGTACTGAGCTCTCCAAAGAATAGGCAGGCAAGATCCCTCTGGCCCCCTCTGGAAGTAGAAAGTGCTTGCCCTGGAGGACAGCAACAGAGCCAAGGTGAGGCCCTGCTCAAAGGTGAGCAGGGGTCTGGGCTGACTCCTTTCGGCCCTTGCCAGCAATGGGCCGGCCTCGCTCCTCCCAAATGGTGAGGCCATCGCAGGAGCAGATCTGCTTGGGGTTCTGGAAGAGGCCAGCGGAGCGTGCGATGATGCCGCAGGCCAACCTGCAGAAGAATGTGTGGTTAGGAGTGGGTACTTGTTTACACCTCCACCCCTGGGCTCCTCATGCACCATCCGCAGAGCATGGCCTCCTACAGGGTCCGACACCACTCACCTCTCCCCAGAGTTCCCTGTGATCTTGGATAAGGGATGGCCTCCGCGGCCCAGGTCATCTTCTCCCTCATCAATAATCAGGCTTCGGCCAATCACATCCCACACCTTTCAGGGGAGACGACAGCCTCAGACAATGGACCCTGTTAGGAAGGGTGCCCACCTTCTTTTCCACCTACCTTCAGCTGTTCATCCTCCATCCTGAAGATGGCACGGCCATCAGCATCAGCGCGGACATTGCCCAGGTCTCCACGGTGCTGGAATGAGACCCAGTGTGTGTATAGGGGGTGTGTGCCATGTGGTGCCAAGCTGCTATCTTCTGACTTCCTGATTCCAATGCCTCTTTCTGCTTCCCCAAAATACCCATTTCCTCCTGTGGGTACCAGTCTGGTAGAATCTGAGCTCTCCAAGGACTGGGCAGGCAAGGTCCCCTTGGCCCTCTCTGGAAGTAGAAAGTGGTCACTCCCTCCCTGGAACTGAAATCCTGGGCAGACTGACAGCGGGCTGAAAAGAGCTGGTGAAAGATTCCCCTGCCTGTGCAGTCATCCCGTTGGACCAGACAGTTTTTCCCGTGAGGCCATTGCCCAGCTCTGCTTCTCAGTCTCCAGTTAGCCCAGTTCTCCAGCTTCCTGATGGATCTGTGAGCCCTTGGCTGTCTTTAATTCCCATAGGGGTAAGTTGGCCAAGCTTAGCTTCCCTGATGATTATAGCCTATGTCATTTCCCTGACTCCCAGATTCCAGCAACAGAAAGAAACGCAAGGGGCAAAGGGCCTGTCCTGGCCCCTAGAAGCTGGCTCTGCCCTCCTTCGCCCTTGAAGGTAATAAAAATTGTCATAACACATCAATGAGCACCTCCTAGGTCAGGCACACTCTACCAGGAATGGCGGGAGTATGCAGGGTCACCATCCTCAAGGGACCCAGAACAGATACAGAACAAATTAGGTGTCATGAGACACAGGATGAATACAACAGTTGATGTGTTTTGGGGTGACAAGGCCTTACTGGTGAGCCATAGAAACCTGCATCTGTGTCCTCAACCTGACATTTAGGGCAGAAGCAAGTGCCTGTGCCAATGTGGGTAGGCTCCCGTGACCTTGCTGCTGAGTAACCAGGCATCTCACTGTGCCACGAACTGAAGGGCAGGAAGAAGCGGCAGTTCTCCTTTATCTTGTTTTCCAGAGGGACATCTGTTGCCTGCCCCTGGTACTTTTCGTTACGCCCTATGTTGGGGACTTGAATAGTAGAAAGATCAAGGAAGGGGAGGTGATACAGAGCCCTGAAGAGTGGCTTTTTGTTTTTTTGTTTTGATATGGAATCTCACTGCGATGCCCAGGCTGGAGTGCAATGGTGCAATCTTGGCTCATGCAACCTCTTCTTCCTGGGTTCAAGCAATTCTCCTGCATCAGCCTCCTGAGTAGCTGGGATTACAGGTGTGCGCTCCACCATGCCCAGCTAGTTTTTGTATTTGCATTTTTTATTTTTTTGAAACAGAATCTTACTCTGTTGCCCAGGATGGAGTTCAGTGGCGTGATCTGGGCTCACTGCAACCTCCACCTCCAAGGTTCAAGCGATTCTCCTGTCTCAGCCTCCTGAGTAGCTGGGACTACAGATGCATGCCATCACACCCAGCTCACTTTTGTGTTTTTAATAGAGACAAAGTTTTACCATGTTGGTCAGGCTGATCTTGAACTCTTGACCTCATGTGACCGACCCACCTTGGCCTCCCAAAGTGCTGGGATTATACGCGTGAGCCATCACACCTTGCTTAATTTTTGTATTTTTAGTAGAGACAGGGTTTCACCATATTGGCCAGGCTGGTCTCGAACTCCTGACCTCAAGTGATCCGCCTGCCTCAGCCTCCCAAAGTGCTGGGATTATAGACATGAGCCACTATGCCTGGCCTGAGGAGTGCTTTGGGGACTGGGCAAAGGGGGCAGCCTGCACAGTGTGGCTAGAGGCATGACCCAGCAGCAGGTCAAGGAGAGGCAGCCTTTCCAGGATCTTCCTTCAGCACACAGGCAGGGGCAATAGGCCGAGGGTGGGGGTGGGGCATTGAATATCCACACCAAGAAGTTAGGCCCAGCTTGTACTCTCAGGAACTGGGAGCCAAGATAGGCTTCAGGTAAGGGCATGGCCTGGTTACTCCAGGCGTCAGGAAAATCCTCCAGTACAGTCTATGAAAAGGAAGAACTAGAGCCAGGTGAGAACAGAAGGGAGCTTAGAGATCAGTTAGGAGATGTGCAGCCGGGCGTGGTGGCTCACGCCTATAATCCAAGCACTTTGGAGGCCAAGGCGGGCGGATCACCTGAGGCCGGGAGTTCAAGACCCGCCTGACCAACATGGTGAAACCCCATCTTAAAAAAAATAAATAAAAAGAAAAAAGAAAGGAGGTGTGCAAGGGACAACCAAGCTTGGATATAAATTCCCAGATGGGATTATCTTCCATCTGGGAAAAGCAGATGCTGAAACAAAACAGTAACTTGCCAGTCACTGTGGCCTTGGCCGCTCAGCTCCTGCTCAATTCTTCCCCATCTATATTAAGGGGTTGGGTGAGGTACAGCTACTGATGCCAGCCCCTTCTGATTTGCTGCCCCACCTGGGGCCCAGGAAGAAAACACAGCTCACAAGGCAGTCTCCTGCCCTTCAGAAACACTCACTCCCTGCCAATCCATGCCTCCAGGGCTTTGCCTGGGCAGTTTCTTTTGCTGGGCCTGTCGTTCCCACTCTCAGCCTCTCTACCTGCCTACTTCCTGCCCGTCATCTTTCAACGCTGCAGGAGGTGAATTGCCTCTATGATGCACCTCCCTTGTGTGTGGGCTGGACTTAGTGTCACTTCTAAGATTAGGTTACAAAAGAATGTGGCTTGAGTCTTGGATGCCCTTTCTCTCTCTCTCTCGCTCATTCACTCTGAGGGAAGCCACCTGCTGTGTTGTGAGCTGCCCTAGGGAGAGACCCATGTGGCAAAGAACTGATGTCTCTGGCCAACAGCCAGGGACGACCCAGGGCCTACCAACAGCAACATGAAAAAACTTGGAAGTAGATTCTCCCCACCTGGAGCCCTGAGATGACTACAGCCCTAAGAGAGACCCTGAGCTGCAGGCACCCAGCTAAGTCACACACAAATTCCTGCCCCAGAGACAGTAAATGTTTTTTCTCCGCACCCCACCCCATAATGTTTGTTGTTTTAAACTCCTAATTTTGAAAATCATTTGGTTTGCAGTAGCAGATTACTAATTCACTGAGCATAAGCATGGCACTATGCAATGGACTCTATAGAAATGCCTCTCCAATTTCCCAGGGCAGGGAGTAAAAAACTTTTGACCAGTGTCTGAGCGTGATGGCTCACACCTGTAATCCCAACACTTTGGGAGGCCAAGGCAGGTGGATCACTTGAGGTCAGGAGTTCAAGACCATGCCTGTAATCCTAACACTTTGGAGGCCAAGGTGGGAGGACCACTTGTGCCCAGCAGTTTGAGACCAGCCTGAGGAATATAGTGAGACCCTATTTCTACCAAAAAAAAAAAAAAAAAAAAAAAATTAGCTGGACATGGTGGTATATGCTTGTGGTCCCAGCTATCAGGAAGACGAGGTGGGAGAATTGCTTGAATCCACAAGTTCAAGACTGTAGTGAGCCATGATCACACCACTGCACTCCAGCACGGGCAACAGAGTGAGACCCTGTCTCAAAAAAGAAAAGAAAGAAAAGGAAAGAAGGAAGGAAAAGGAAGAAAGAGAAGAAAGGAAAAACATGTTAAGGGACAGAACTGTCAAAAGTCCAAAAACTCAGTTACATGCATTAAGAAACACGCATCATGGTTTCATTTGTTTTGTGGCACAAAACTGCAGACCCATCAAGATAGAAAATAGCACAGTCACAGCCAGGCGCGGTGGCTCATGCCTGTAATACCAGCACTTTGGGAGGCCAAGGCAGGTG